GAAGGACACATTTAGATCAACAGCTGTAACAGCCAAATAATTTATAAACAATCACTTCAAGTGTAGATCTGACTTTATATCAACCTGACAGATGATTACACTCTAAACCAGTCAAAGCTTAATTCAGCTATTAAGACAAGTAACCCAATCAGAGAAACTGTCCAAATAAAGATCTGTTCAATTTACATAATTTTAAGATAAAAATTCATATTTACATCGGTACAAAATACTTAGCTGCAACGCTAGATTAACTGTGTTCAGCCTTCTAAAGCAAGCAGGCAATTCATAAAACCAGTTATTCAAACAAATATCAGAGCTTACTAGACAGCTCAGAACATTAGCCAGAACCTCTAAACATTAAAAGGTGCCAACATTTTATTTCACATTCTAACACTAATACTGTAACTAACAGTAATACATTTTTTTTAAAAGAAGTGTCCTACAGCTGTACCAAACAAGCACGTTAGCTCCCAGCAACATGATTTCTAAAATGCAATCAAACTTCAATATTAAAAATTACTATTATCAAATTAGGTGACTTCTCTTCCACCTCATGATCAAGACTCACTCAAAGTTTTATCTGAACCGTGGAAGGTGCAAAGATTTACACTCCACTCACTTCACAAACAGTTAAGGGGCTATTCAGAGAGCAAAAAAACCTGTGGGCAAACAAATCTCTGCAGGATTAGACCACACCCCTAATCCATAAAAGACTATAGTTTGGCTGGCAACAAGATCCAACTGATTTCAGCGTAGGCCAGGAATCTGCCTGCTTTAGTAAATGCACAGAATGTTAAACCAACAAGTCAAGTCTGAATTTTACTATAATTAGGAAATTTTGCCAAGGTTGTATTTAATCCTTTTGACACAAAACAGCAGAACATATGAAACAGTACTTCCTGTTACACAAATGCAAAAGTAAAAATTAGCATATATTTACCAAGTTAAGTACATAAACAATTTTTATAAAATAAAGCTAAATACAACTTACTTGTGATACTGTTGTGTTTTTTGCATTAACTTCTCTGGGAGCCCATCTTCATCATCAAACTGCTCCATTGGTTCTACAACAACAGGTCGAGGTGTTCTGGAAGAAAGTTTCAAATTAATAATTTAATCACAGATGGAGCAGTTAAAAGTTATTTAAGTATTTTGAAGAAACAATCCAGAAAGCTAACATATGTTATCTATAATTCCTGGGTCTTGCAAATTCTTCTAAAAATCACAGAATTCAAATGAATCCTGATTTTAAGAATTATCTTTGGAAGTAACTGTTTCTATACCCGAAATGTGCTATTCGGCCTAGAAACCAAAATTTACTTCATGTAGTTCTGTTTGCTATCAAGTATTTAAAGGTTTTTTTAAAAAAAATCTCAAAACCAAACATTTACAAAATATTTAGAAAGGAACCATCTTTTCATTTTCATCAGTGAGGCAACACAGAGGCCATGATTACATTGGGAAAGCACCAAATTCAAAACAGAGCAACACAACCTATTCATATTTCCACAGAATATTAAAAGTTACTTTTGAAATTACTCTACAATCGAAAGCAGCTTGGTAATTTGGCATTAACATTCCAGTGATAATTAGAAAAACATTTCTGCTTAAGCTATTTAAAACCCATTTTTTGAACAATCATACTCTCAGAAATCAGAATCATAATTTATCTTGGAAAGTCTCTTCCCTGAATTCTCATTATTTATAGTAAACAGAGGCCAGTACTCCCAAGCATAGCACTATAAGGATCCTGAATGGTGTAAAAAGCTCTCTGCACCCATCTTGGGAGCATAGCCTGTTATACACCCCGTAAAGCGATAAGAAAAGACCTAGAGACACTATTTTCAAAACACCAGCACTTTTTTATTGTGTTGCATGCCTTTATTTCACTTTGCAGATCTTTTCACCAAAAAAAAAAAAAAAATCAATATATTTTAACAACATCAACAGCTGAAAAAGAAAACTTTAGGCATCGAGTGCAGATTAAAAAGATGAAGTCTGGAATCACAGAGCACAACTCAGCAACTGCATCTCCCGATGTTATCTGCATGGCAATTGCTGGCAGTTCTGTTATTTAAACACAACTGAACTGTGGCATTAACAAGTTATGATTCAAAACAACGAGTTTCAATCTCTAAATTAACCTTTCAAATGCCTAGTTTTGATATATTTAGCCCATAAATTTAGAGACTTTCTTCTGATGAGACAAAGTTTTCAGCCAAAACTGTAAAATTTTACATTCTGAAGGAAAACATCACAGTGTCACAGCAGTAGATTCATGCTAATTATCTCTGCAACGGCACATTAGGGAACACGTCAGCCACCTAAGTGAGACAAAGATCAAGTGCTTTTTATTCACTCGGGACACGGTTAGATGGTCATTTCAATCCAACTAATCTATCCAGCTGGTAAAACAAGAATACCCTCCCTCATATCCTAGCTTCTTTTTCCTTGCCACATCTCTCATGTCAAGAATAGCATTCATGTAACACCGAACTGGATTAGTTCCCTTGTTTTGCTCACCGTGCTTCCATTCAAATACCAAGAAAACCCAGGGGATATGAACAAATTGCTGGCACCTACTGATAACAGTAAAGGCATATTCAGATTTAATTTACTGCATTGCCACCAGTTCAGTGGCACACAAGATTTATGAGATTATCACAAGAACAAAGAACTTCAGACCCCTTCCCCACCTGCAACCTCCTCCTGGAGACATGATGTTTGTAGCACCTGTGCTAGCAAGCACCTTCCTGTGCTTAAACAGCCGAAAATGAACCCAACAAAACCAGCTGAATACTTTTCTGTTGTTTCAGCAAGCACCAGTGGCTTATGGAAGTATCAGAAAGTTCTCAAGCAGATAAAAAAGATCAACAGCACAGCCAGGGCAGGAAGGGAAAAGAAACTAACAAGTTCCCCAATGTGATGGTAGCAAGCTTCCACGCTGTGGAACCACAGCCTTACTTTCCCAAATGAGAATCAAAAAAATAAAAATGAAAAAACAATCTTGAATATCTACCATTTCACACAGTCTTTAAGAAATGTCACTAGTGAATGTGTTAAAACACAGCAGTTAACAACTCTCTTCAGCAAGTACAGAAATAGCAGATGCAAGAGATAAGTGCTTTAATTTGCAAGCTCGCTTGCCCTTGAAATAGAAAGTTTTCCAGAGATCACTGCCATAAACTTCTGCAGAATCTGTCTTCATTTAAAAAAAAAAAAAAAAATTCTGGCCTTTCAAGCCACAAATAAAACTTCTGAGATAGAATAAACACAGGAACACTTTCCTGAGTTTACAAAAGTATCAGCAATGTAGTGCATTGTTTTGCTAAGAAACAGAAAAATATTATTTTATAACATTGTTACTGGGAACAGGACGAGTGCAATCAATGAAAATAAAAGTCTCACTAGAAGAAGCCCTACTATATAGAGAAGGAAAAGTAATAATGCATATAGACAAGAGAAAGCAAAACGTTGCTATCAGACTCTCATATGGTAATTACAAGTCTCAAACAGTAAGCAAAAAAAGATCGTTTCCTCACAAAACAAAAAACGAGTATCTGGGATATTCACGTAAAACACCTTAATGCCTCACCTCATGGCTTTCACAATTTGAAAATAAAATTAGAACTAGGGAATACCCTTGAATGCAGTTTTCTTTCACAACAGAAATACATACTCCCACAAATTCAAACAAAACGCTGTGAACTTACGTCGTTAGCAAGAATGCCCCATCACTGCATCTTTCTAGAGCTTTCCGCGCTGGAGGTTTTGCTGCAAACTCTACGAAACCTTTTCCTGTAGCTCTGCCACGATCATCTACTACAACAACAGCTCTTTCCACTGGCCCAAACTGAGAGAATGCTTGTTCCAGCAGCTCATTAGAAACCACAGGTGAAAGATTCTTGACAGTTAGGGCAGCTCCATGTGTAGCAAATCGGATTCGAAGTGGTCTGCTCTTCAAAATAGTACCATCAAGTTCCGCTTTTGCTATTTCAGCCAGTGTCCTAGATTCCTTTTTCAAGATATAAAATATTTTATATATTTTATTTTCAGAGACAACATATATCACTTTTTTATTTACCCCCACAGAAAAGTTTTTTTCCTTAACTTGAGCACATTAGCATCATGGTCATTCAACTTCCTCACCCTCTACCACCTCCTCCGCTCCCCCCCCCCCCCACCCCCCAAAGTTCCCACCCCCCCCCCCCCCCCCCCCCAACCCCCAAAGTTCCCATCCACCGATCAAAAAAAAAAAAATTGCATTTGAAATTGCATTTGTCATGCCCCATGATTTATTCTAAAAAAACCAACATACATGCAAATTTTTGTTGCACATTAGAGGGCTTAAACTCTCATTATGATGGATACATTTGTGCTGCTCTGTAAAGGCTTTCAGTAGAGTGAAAACCTTGCTGCTTTTTCTTATTTACCCACTCAAATGTTTATATTCTGCATCCCTACCTCCATATAGTAACAAATAGTATTTTCAAAGACTACACTACAGGATCTAGGGTGTTTTGGGTTTTGTTTTTTGTTTTGTTTTTAAGTAAGTGAAAATATCACACTTGCTCATTACCATGCTGGATGAACTCTGAATCAATGTCCAAATCTAATTTCATCAACAAATGATGAAATTACCTTCTTTGCTCATGTATTCATTCTCACATTTAGGGGCTTTCTGCACCCACATCCATGAGACAGTTTGCATCAATAACTGCCTTTTTTTTCCTCATTTCATAGATTTTCACCAAGTTTGATACCTACAATACCTTATTTTTAAAGAAATTATTCTCTAGATTACAGCCATTTTCTCCAAAGTTTAACTGACTAGGGAAATTGTTTTACAGTAACGTGTTCCTTAAACATAATGGAAAAGGTTAGTTCAGATGAAAGCTATATCTAATCTATATTACATACAAAACTGAGTAATGACATGCAAATACATCACACTTCCTCCAGAAAATTGCTATTTCAGGCTGGGGGATTCTCGGCATAAGATGTATGGCAGAATGCCACAGGCACTTATCTTTAAGATGACAACCAAAAAGAGAAAAATCCTAGCCAGTAAAATATATGGAAAAATCGTAACTAGAGACACCCAAAGCGCTCTAAAGCTATTCCCAGAATGATACAAGTCAGCGCATTCTAGATATAGCAGTCACGAAAATTAATCCCGCACGTTAAACTGACATTTAAATACAGCATCATAATATTTTCAGATTATTCCTTTTTTGCACGCTCGACTTCAGCATATTTGATCGAATGTTGTATTACACCTAAAAATCTAGTCTTATCTGGACACACGTAATTTAAACCACCGAATGCCTCGTTCCTTTGCAATTTTGAGGTTTTATGTTCTGTTTTCACGATGCGTGAGGACTGGCATTTCTAAACAATCCGGTGCAGTCTTACAAATTTAACTCTGTTTTCGTAACGAAACCTAGACTCATAACGACCTGTACAGGCTGAAATCTGCTTCTGCACAGAGAACGATTTTTTCTAGTCCTAAAGTACGATAAATTCTCCCAATTAAATAAGGAAAATCTTTATACAGGTACCACACGAATAAAGCAGATCACGCAACACATCTCCCATTCACTAAAGAATAACAGGCTGCAGGAGTACCCGTGGTAGCAGCACATAAACGGTAACTGGTGGAGGGGCCCCGAAACCAGCGGAGTACCGCGTAGTGAGATGGGAACCTAAACGCGAGGGACTGGGAAGGCTGCTCACAATGCAGGCCTCTGGCTTGGATGTACGGAGGCACACAGGGGAGGGAAGAAAGAAGAGGAAGCGGAGGGAACTGCGCTAGCAGCAAGGAGAGAGACTGAGGGGCAGCTGCTGCCTTTTTTTTCACACCCGCCCGACAAGGAAAGGCGGGGGGGGGCGGGAGGGCCGCAAGGGACAGAAGCCCCCCGCTTGCACAGGCAGCCCCTGCGTTACAGGGCGGCCGCAAAGGCTCGCGCGATCCTTACCAGGCGAATGAAGCCAAAGCCGCGGTCCCGGTTGATGAAGACCTCGCTAGGCTCCCCATAGCGCTCGAAGAGGCGCTTGAAATCTTCCTCGGTGATATCAGTAGGCAGATTCCCCACAAAGAGCCGGCAGCGCTGCGTGTAGCTCTTCTCGCCAGGTTTAAGAAAGCTTTTGATATCGATGGTGAACCCAACCTCCTGCTCTTCATCTCCACCTTCTTTGCTCGGCACTAGCGCCATGGCCGCCGCCGCCGCTGCCTCATTCTCCGTTTCTAGGCCCCGCAATCCCTTCAGGTTGCCGCCACCACCCCCCACTATGCCCAGAGGCGCCGCTGGGGAGCTATTCTCGATCCGCACTTGCTTCAAGTTCCTATTCGCCGCCATATTCAGACCTCGCTCCTTTCTCGCTGGTTTTCTCGGGGGACGCAGAGCCCGGATCGGCAACCACCTCCTCCGACCCTCAGCCAATTCAAAATGGCGCCGCCGCCAACCTCAACGAGTTGTAACGTCCCTGAGGGAAGCCCCGCCCACCGTGGCCCGCGCTGCCTTCCCCACCACTGCTCCTCCCCGTTGCTGGGTGCGGGGAGGGGTCTGCGCATGTGCTTATTTGCGCCGCCGTGGGGTCGCCGCGGGTGCTCATGGCGTCCTGCTGCCTTTAGGGGCTGTGGGTCCCGCTCAGCTCTGGGCCGAGCCTGCCTCGGACGGCGGGAGGCCGGCCCTTGCGGGCTGCGCTGCCTGAGCGGATAACCCGCCCAGAGGCTTCCCTGCAAGCTCGGCTCCCTCGGTGCCTGACTCGCCCGCACGGAGAGCGGTCGCAAGCGCCACCATGTTGGGTTAGAGTAGTGGTCTCGGAAGCGTTCAGGCCCTGCCAGCTCTGCGGCAGTCCGCCCGCAGGCAGAAGAGCCCCTTGCTGGGGCCTCCCCTGAGGGGAAGGCAGGCAGGCGGGGTGCCCTGGTGGGGGGTGCCCAGTCGCAGCGGGAGAGGGGGCAGGCATAACGCGGGAGGTGCTGAGGCAGCTGCCGCCTGCGAGAAGGAAGGCTCGGGTGCTGCGGAGTGGCCAGCAGACAGTGCACGAAAAGCATTCAGCTGAGTTAGGTGTGGGAGACAAATCTGAGTGGAGGGAGGCCATGATACATCTGCTGCTTACAGAACAATTTCTTACAGGGCAGCGACTTTCACTGTAAAGGTGATGACATAGTTCTGAGAGGTGTGAAGTCAAATGTTTCCTTCCGTGGGCGCTCCTTGTAGCTAGGACTGCGTGTGCCATCTGCAGCACGTGACTACGTTTTTCTCTCCCTGCCTACTAGATGTCCAGTTGCTTGGTTTGATCAGCGTGCTTCAACTGGTCCATGGTTTCTCAGACAAAGGGCTCATCAGTCTGCCTGAGGTCTCATAGAAAACTTGATAATCAGTTCTTGGCTCACCATAGCAGTCTGAGTGCTTCAGGTGCCCACGTAGCTTTATGTCACATAGGGGAACTCCTGGACAATAGAGCAAGGCTTCAGGACAAAGTAACAGTATTACTCGTTTTATTAATACAACCGTAGCAGTGAAAAAGTCCAGACACTCAAGCAGTTAATAGTTACTTCAGCTAATGCACGGCATATACTATTTTCAAAAAGCAACGTCAAGCATGATATTAACGAAAAAGTTGATTCTACAACAGGCATGAATCCTTTGCTCATTCCTTGTCCTTTGGGGAATATTTTAAGTTCTCTGTCCCTTTCCTCCTGTCTCTGAGTTTGTACCAGGATCTGGAGAAAACATGAGTTCTCAGACAGCATGGATCATTTCATCAGCCCACCTGTTTCTGAAGCAGACTCGTGAGTGTAGGGCATTGAACTAAACCCAGATTTAAGCCTCTGAAAATCAGAAAATACAGATGGTAGAGGCAGGGTATCTACTCACAGCAAAGGTAGGAAGTCAGGCGGTGTAGGAACATGAAGGAGGTATTAGGGTAGCAGTATAGGATCCCTAAAGCTTAATCACCTTGACTGTACAAAGAGCTATGGCTTGTAGTATATTTAGGATTCAATAACAACTGTTAAGACAAAAAAGGAACTGACTTACAGCAAACCAATAGCTTTTTAAAACTGGTAAGCATGTAAAGGGTGTGAAATACATGTTAGAAAGGATATGACTATCCATTGTAAGAGTGAAAGCTCAGTAGATGGGAAAAGAAAGATGCGTAGCAGTGTGCTTGTTAAGTTATTGCTGTGTAATAAAATTGCCATGGTTTTCAGACACAGCTTTCCAAATCAGGTTCATAATAAAAACTACAACCATTTAAATATACAACCATGATTTTCTGTGTACTACAAAAAAAGTCAATAGGAGGAGCAAGGAGTGTTTATAAATTCCATGTTATTGTTACGTTTTCTTAGCTGTAGCAGCATCTCAGTAGTAAATGATAGTCCTGTAAAATAGATCAATAAAATTCCAACTTCCAGAAACAAGAAAATCATAGAATGGTTTGGGTTGGAAGGGACCTCAAAGACCACTTAGTTCCAACCCAACACACCCCACCCCCCCGCCATGGGCAGGGACACCTCCCACCAGACCAGGTTCCTCAAAGCCCCATCCAGCCTGGCCTTGAACACTGCCAGGGAGGGGGCAGCCACAGCTTCTCTGGGCAACCTGTGCCAGTGCCTCACCATCCTCACAGTGAAGAGTTTCTTCCTAATATCTGATCTAAATCTCCCCTCTTTCAGTTTGAAACTGTTACCCCTCATCCTATCACTGCACTCCCTGACCAAGAGTCCCTCCCCACCTTTCCTGTAGGCCCCCTTTAAGTACTGGGAGGCCACTACAAGGTCTCCCTGGAGCCTTCTCTTTTCCAGGCTGAAAAACCCCAACTCTCTCAGCCTGTCCTAATCTGCAAAAAAAAGAGAAATATGTATTTAATATGCTCGTGCATCCATGGCTTACGTTATTTGTCAGACTCACGGTGTAACCATGATGCACATACTTGCACTGTTTTTAAAATATGTTGAGCAAAAGCTATTTCCACATGCCTTATATTCAAACATTTTAGGGTGATGTACAAAAAGAACCTGGTATCTGTTACAGTCAATCACTTCCTCACCTTTGTTTGCAAAATATCGTTTCACATTTTACTCATTCATCAGAACCACCTCAGGCAGTTCATCTCCTACCTGACTGCTCAGAGTCTTTGTGGCTCCAGTGATTGCTACACCTTGCCACTGACACCCGTTAACAACAACAACAACAACAAAAAATTAAAAGAAGACAAAAGGGCTCCCTTGATGTTCTTGTTCCAGCGCTTTCCTTCTGTTATAAACAGCCACTTACATTTTTGTGATTAATTGCAACTTATATCACTGGAGGAGTTCTGCTAGACTGTTCTAGCCACTCTCCGTAAGTTTAGTGTTACTATATTTGATACTTTGAATGCAGTTGAACTACTTGAACGTGATTTCAGAAGAGTAGGGGAATAATATGATTACATAGTAATTTGTTTTCACCCTAATTCTTGAAGTTTATGAAGCCTGAATTTATTCAACTTGGCATTCAAACGGCAGACAACCCTAATTTTGTACTAACAAAGTTTGGTTTGGCCTGGAATTTATTTTAAGACCTTAAGAAGGTCATGACTTCTTGTATTAGTAATATACTGCCTTTACATGTACTACCAGACTCCCTTTTCTGACTCACGTATAGCCTTGGATTATGATCTTGGAAATGGTTGTGTATTTAAATTTATTAGCATAATTACATTATTCTGCATATGCTTGACTGTCTGTAGTACAGTCCCTATTCCCCTAAGGACAAGAACATTTTAGTGGCAGAAAACAGGAGCAGGATTGTGAAAATCAGTACTTTTAATTTTGTCTGCTACAGAGACAGGTTCTGTTTGGTGTGTGCTAAAGCGTTAATGCTATCAAGAAATTTGGGGGTGTTTCCAAAATACACATCATCCAGCCATGTGCCATATGAGACACAGTCAGAAGCAACTGTTCTAGCTTTTAATTTTCTGTATCACAACATTACTTCCCTACCAAATATCAGAATC